TAATATGTTATATAAAAATAATAATTAGCCTAACACTGTAGGAAAAAGGGTTAACTTTGGAGGAAGGTGGTGGGGACCGTCCCGTGCGCGCAAGTGTCCATGACAAATTATTACACGAAGGCCTTGCAAAACACGATAATCTCCTCGCGACGATCGCTTTTGTATCGGTAAATCCTGCCTCGCTCCTCGCTTATCATCGATCATTATCAGCAGCTTCTTTTCCTTTTTTTCTGTTTTGTTTAAATCCTTTACTCTACAAATTACAATTACGCTACGCTCTAACCACTTCGGATGATACCCTATTTTTTTACTTGTATCATATGTACTCGATTAGTGTGTAATCCGTATATATATTTCTTGTTTCCTTCTATTTACAAAATATGTAGAATAGACATTGTTCCTATCCTAACTACAATAATGCGTGCCGTGGCGCGAGACTTTTAAACCTTTCAAGGTGCGCTTTTTTTATTATTATTTCATAATATAATTTCATATATTTATATATACATGCATATATTTATATACACACACATATATATATACACATATATTTTATATATCTATATATATATACACATATGCATGTATATACGTGTATATGGTCATATTTCTAATTACATAATCTATTTTACAGCCAAATTCAACAATCCCCGTTGAAATTCAACGCGTTTACCCGACAAACAGTTCGGACATTTTTGTTTTTCTTTCTCTGTAACATAAAAAGGTGATCATTGTATCGATAAAATTCGTTAAAATAAACGGATCGGAGTTGGGTGGTAGTTCTTTTTTTACTTTTAATAGAGTTAATCGCGAACGATGTGATGACCGCATAAAAACATCCCCGATGCCACCGAGCGCAAGGCGAACAGACCAATATGGCTGTTAGAGAGCGATAGTCTAAGAATGATTATTTTGGACAGAGAGCTGTGACGAGCAAAGTTCGCTGAAACGATAGTTAAGAGAATACAGGATGTTCGAATAGATGATTTCTTGAATTCGCTGTGGATGATTATACGGATCAGTAGCTCCGGAAATTAATTAGTAAGAATGAAAATGGTTTGTAATTTATTCTTTTTTAATAATAAAATAACAATATAAATAATATTAAAGTTTAATTAAGATCTTGATCTATGTTTTTGTAGAGTAAGGATTACTAGAAACGTATAAACATCTGTAGCCTATTCGTAGCACCGATTGAACAATATTTTTAAAACAATTTTCTGTGAGAAAGATATGATTTTGCCAAATACTTTAAAAATAAAGAATAATACGTGCTTAAATAGAAAGATCAAGCAAACAATGGTATTTCTTACAGATAAAAATAATAAAATTACAAAATAATTTATGTACATGCAGAAATATGAGACACACTGCTGTTATAAAACGTAGCTGTTAAATGTGAAAAGATTAAAACGATTAAGTATTTTTTCCATGGTTGTGTAAGTACTCGACTCTTCACATTTATTAGACATCTTTTCTCGACAGCCTGTATTGCTTAAACTGTGGTTGTCCGTTAGAACATTGGCCAGAGGGACAACAGAGGAACTCCAAGAATACTTTGCATTTCTTAAATTGCTACTTGTAAAATGACGATTGAACTGATGCCTGAGAAGCGACAATGTTCTTTTGAAACAAAATTGTGTTAGTAATTAATTTGAGAAAAAAAGGAAAATAAAAAGCGTAGAAAAATAAATAAATTTTGTTAAAACTAATCGAGTTAGTAAGTTGATCAAGATTTAAAAATTGATTGAGACTGAAAGATACAGAATATACTGATAAAAGAAAATATAATATAAAGCTATCAATATAAATGTTTGAATAACAGAAAAGTGCACGCAAACAACAATTTTATCAAACCAATTGTTACTATTACTAACATTACAAATACATTTCGATACTTTTGTACAGTGAAATAA